TGAAAAGGAAAGGAATGTTGAAAAATCAAATTTCGGAGGAGTTAATTGAGGCGAAGAAAAGACGAGAGGAGAATAAGAGAGGAACATTGTTATGATACATTAATTTCTGGTGATTTTCTTCATCCATTTCTTAGGGAATAATAATGTAAGGATGGTAGATCAAATTATCGAATTTCCTGAAAAATACTTTTGCTTTTATTAATATGTATTTTGAAGTTTCCTTCACCTTCATCATTTAAACAAAAACTTTTCATTTAGGAAGTTCTTTAAAGCATCCTTTTTATTAAATCATGTGCACAATTTTTGGACTAAAGTCCACATGAAAATTCAATATTTAAGGTAAAGCTTTTCTATTTAGTCTCTTTTTGTAACCTTTTCTCCCTCCCAATGGGAAATTCGATAATCATGTAGATCCTGATATTTTGTGCTTCAGAAGCGGTAAATCTTTCCTTAAAATTGTTTTCATTTCTTGAAGTTGTTTAGAAGACACTGACCATAGCATTTGAATCTGAAATTGTTCTTTTTTTCAGTTTTTGCATTATCCGTCAGGCTTTTTTTTTCCTAAAAAGTGAGAAATTTATCTTTTTGATTCCTTTCGAACTAGCACAAATGAGCAGTGAGCATTATATTACCATCATTCTCGTGTTTTGCGACTGTGAGCGTTGAAATATGATCTCATAATAAATATAAAATCCTTTACGGGATTTATTCTTTTAATAAATTCAAATTGAGTTTTGAAAGGTAAAATGAACCTCACAATAAGAATGTTAGCATATTTGCTGCTTCTTTTTTGAAAATCCCTTCGGTTCTGAATGTAAATCCTATCCCTCCATAGCGGGAAGTGTAGTTTATAGGAAAATGTTCATATTTCTAAACCCAAAAAAGATTAAGGGAAAAATCGAACCGAATTATATGAAGCTTTTTGGTGATTATAGTGAAATACGCACTTCTTTCGCTGCTATAGTTACTACGTCCTCGATCACTTCGAGCTTACAATCATAAACACTGTTTTGGTTGACATTATTATGAATAAGTAGTTCAACCTGTAACAACGATGTTAACAGTTTTATTAATCTTGATAATGTTATTGGCAGTGATACGTAAGACAGGTTACGGATGAGTGTAACTTAAGATACATTGCAGTTATACTAATTTTAAACACGAAACCATTTTTTTCCGTACTTGCCAATATCCAATACCACAGTATAGATTTTGATGCAGCCGAATGACAATTCACTTCTTTGACGAAAATTAAGTAGCGTGCTTTCTAAGCAGTTCATTTGAGATAAGCAAAGCTTGTTATCGAAATTTTAGAGAATGCTTCGGTATTTTTTCGAGTGTTCTGTCGGAGAAACTTGTTAAAAAGATCGAAAAATTAATTTCGAAGACTTTCAACATAGTATTTTGGTAGCACTGAAAACTAGCTTATATTCTCAGACTCGAATTTCATGGGTTGAATTCTGGATTTCCAGAAAATCACGTCCTAGACAAATAAGAAATTTACTTGATCATATCTCCTGTACTTAAGTGAACAACATTTAGCTGAAGCTACTTGAAGTTGCATAATGGACGCATACCTGTCAAAAATAGATAATAGTGATTGATTTAATAAATAAATCGAAAGAAGTGGATTGAACTTTCATGGTATGTGCTACAGTGTCTCGCAAGAGTCACAGCCTCTACTTGAAATAAATTCATTGTCTATCTTTCGGCTCAGCTCCGATGCAAAATACCGATGTGCACTGACCCCTTCTCAGGTAGTCATAATTTACAAAGTAGCAGACTACCGATCATCCTTTAAATTGTTATCGACTAAAGTTCAGAATTTTCTTTATTTCTGACAGCCAAAGATAGTTACTGTGTAAACATTTCTCCGAAGTTTTACAGAAGCTCTCTATAACATTCAGAAAATCTTTAGTCATTTAAAAACTTGACACACAACAAAAGTGCTTTTGAAGTTTATTAATGGTTTAATTGTGATGACTAACTTTTCCGTAGACATCAGATGATGTTTCTGAATTTAACTTTCTTTTCCCTTCCCTTTTTACCAAGGACACAACCTGTCCGCAAGCAATACATTGGATCTACAGGACTTTCCTCATATCTTAGATTTTTCGAGGTCGTCGATGGATTTTAGAGCATGTTAAATATTTTTAAGTGAAAAAATACAGCTGTGACTTATGCATAATTTCTATTAATATTATAAAATCATTAATTTCGATATCATCGACAGATAGAATGATATCAACGATGAATGCCAAGTTAGCTGCCGAACACTATTTAAAAATAAGCAACAATTTTAATAAAGTTTATTCACTGCCTTTTTTGTCTTGAGTAATCTTCATTATTCTCGCAATGGACGAACATACTTGCGCATAGAATTTTCAGTTATCTCTAAAAGAAAATGGAAATCGAATTATAAAGATGAAATGAAATTTGAACGTCACACCTTCCATGTAGCTTTTTGAATTCTTATATCAAACGGCTCGTTCAAAACCGTTGTTTCCTAAATATGAGCAAGATGTTTACGACTCGAAAATTTTCATTCTAATACACTAAACTTCTTACTTTATATGCACCTCAAATGTGACGCTAAATAGTCATTCAAAACTATCATTTTTGTTATCGCAAATCAATACCAACTATCCATAATTATAAATAATCATCCGTTCCTAACTCACACAACCGTATATATAAATATCCGCTTATATTTCAGTACACCATTACATTTCCTTTCCACTTACGTTACTATCCTAAATTTTCTTCACAAATATTTTAATTAAGAATTGGTGGGTACTGGCCACTATTATTCTTCATAACAGAATCAAGTGCACACTTTTGACAGTCCTGGATGATCCCATGGTCTTGGCCACTTATTTTGGCCCTCATCCATCTAGCAATGAACAATTCGACGACAATAATACCTAACATTATATTTTGTCTCATTTATACTTAAGTGTAAATTGTGGATTTGAAATGAAGGAATAAAATGACCGGTTTTCTTCTACCTCCATCTTGTACAGTACCAGCCATCTCCCGGGATAATATAGAGGTAAGATATTTATTCAATCAGTTCATTGAGCAGAATGTCGTGTTTTTTCTCTCTGAACTGAAAAAGCAAGATTATCCTGATTGCAGTGATGTTATAGTGCCTTAGCATGTAGAACCTTCTTCCCCAGTGAACGTTACAAGTAGGTCTAAAAAAAAAAAAAATTGTAAATTTAAATACCGATACTTCGTTTTCTGCGTTTACTAAAACATGGAATGGCTCTAAGCAATTTCTCTACCTATCAAAAAATAGCTGAAAATATCGAGAAATGCTCCAGATATGATCCATCCACATATTAAAGCAAAAGATGTGGAAAGAATGGTACTCCGTCACACAGAAATAACTTCCCGAAATGTCATCACTCGTCACTTTTGTCTTCCGCGGCAAGTAATTGTTGAGAGTATACTGCACAGCTAAAACTCTGCACTAGCATCCCTAAACAACTGAATAAGTCCGTCCCTCTCTCACCACATTTTCATCAGTGCTGCTCACTATTCTTCCATTCTTCAACTACTAGAACGGGAATTTAAAATGATGAATTTGCTAGGAAAAAGAGAACTTTGAAATTCGACACTTAATAATTTGATGTAGTACAGAGGTCTGATTCACTGTATTAGTATGAAGGTGACTACCAGTCGTCATTGGACGGTTTTATTTCATCTTTGGTGCTTAGCTTCGCCTTCGAAACTTCGCAAGCATTCATCCTCGACTGACGCATTCCTTGTGAACCATTCACCTATCCACAAGGACATGCATGCAGACAGGGAGTGAGTTCATGGGACTATGACGAAATACCAGTGATGAAATAAGTGTACGGAGGGGTGACGGTACTCTTTGGGGACTTGTGTAGTGCGTCTCATGTGACCCTTTGGCCCTTTGAACTTCCACATAGAGTGATTACTCTAAAGCTCCACACAGCCCCTTAAATGACGTCACAAGGAATTCAATCTCGCTACCCTCTTCGGGTCTCTTCTTAGCTGGAACAGCGATATATCTATCGAGTCCTTCATTTCCCCTTATTTCAGTTAGTTGTTTACCTCATTTATCCTCATCTCTCTCCGCATTTTTTGTATATTAACATCAGCATCTTCTTCATTCTCTCTCACTCTCTCTCCCAAGCATTAAAGTTCACTTCGTATAATTTCAATATGGTAGATAAAATTCTTTTCTTAGCATTTTTCTAACGCCCCAAATTTATAAATCTGTGGGAGTGGAGTAGTAGCAGAATGAATACCAATTATTAAAGTGCCGTGCTGCATTATGACGAGAGTATGCTTAAGTGATGCATGGTTGTTACATTCATTGTCCTTTTACCAGTCCCATAATACCATGATAAAATAATGATCCATTTTGTGTTACCAATGCTAGCAATATAACTAGTCGTAAAATTTAGTTTCGTAATTTTTTATATTGTTTGCGTATTGTAGTTCTGCTTGGATAGGATGGGATGGGCAACCAGCAAATGTCGTGCCGATTTCTGCTTCTTCATTCTCATTTAATTAATGTAATCATTGCAGTTACGTTACCGCATTTACACGTTTATTTGAGTATTATTTATCTGCAGTGTGTTCTTGCTTTATTAGATATGAAAGGAGTCGAAGTATTCAGATATCTTACCGTGTGATTCTTATTCGCTGGCCTTTCAAGAAAGCATACGGGTACGACACTCTTCCAGGTAAGATTTTTCTCCCTTTCAAAAAACTGAGTAAATAAATATTAAAAACAATACATTAGTGATTTTGATATGGATAATACTGTATTGTTTCTATTATGACAACTAATATTTGGAATACTGTTGAAAGAAGCATTATTATTGTTCGTATTGCTTATTTTGAGTAGAAAGAGAGAATACAGCAGCACGACAGCTACACTATCTCTGTTAATGACAAGATTTCTTGAAGTCTCTACGTCATGATAAGGGTAAGTTTTCAGCGACCTCTTATTGGTAGCAATGTATTCTGTCGATGAGTGCACTTCGTCGTCGACTTCAGCTTCTCACAAACAATCTAAACCCAGTGGTGACATGGCAACTGCACGAAGTAATGATGTTTTGAGTAGAAAGCGTACAGCAGCACGACAGCTTCCACGAATTATGCTACATCCAAGCAGTCCACAAGGAAGTGATGCAACGAACAGTTTAGTAGCAAATGATTGCTTACAAGGTTTTAATTTTCACATTAATGTATCTTTATGACATTAAACTAATAATGTTTTCTTTAACTAATAAGTCAATAAGCCATTCCACTAGTTTATTGACTTTGTTGAAATGTTTCCAGAATTTGCCGATATTTTAATGCAGCAGTTGAAATCACCAACTTTATATTTTCTGTTGCCATTTCACTTTACGTTTTTGTTCAAACTGAATGATTTTTCTTATTATCACAAATGAAGTAAGTTAGCAACTCAACAAACAGTTATGGCATAGTGTTTGATATCAGTTTGAATATTACATCAAGTCATTTTAAGATGAGGCTGGAGTTTTTGCTATACCATTTTGTGTTATTTTTTTCCATTCACGAGCCGTTTAGATTGGGCAAAAAAGAACGTCGGTGCTGTTCATGTGATTTGTCCATAACTTTTTGTATAATTAATGCTTTCAAAATTTGGATGGTTCTATGTCACTCAGAATTACGAAATCATGAATAGTGCTTGCGAAATAAAAGCACTGTCATCAGTAATCCTGAGTTTTCTTATCAGTGTGACCAAAATTCTTACTTCAAACCTAAATTCCAAGCTTTTAAGTTAGAGATAAAAACTTTGTTTGAAATATGTTGAGAAACCTGTTTCAACAATTTCTTTCGCACAACTTGTTTCAAATGCGACAGCATTTTTGACAGTCATTGTAGCACGCATTTCTGTGAGTGATAAAAAGACAAGAAAGAAAACAATGGGATCTGGGCGGAATTAATGGCTTGATTTTTTTTTTTTTCTTTTTGAATTGCTTGTTTAATAGGAAGTATTGTAATAATTTTAGTTTACGATTCATAATTTGCTGATGAAATCGTGAAGCAAAGTATGATATTAAGCTTGAAAATCTTCCAGAGGATAATGGAAATGATGCAAAGAAACGTTCACGAGATGTTAGGGGAAAACACGCTGACTTTGCCTTATCGGAACTGAGTGACAGTCAGTCAAAAAGTCCAGTTTGTTATGCTAAAGACTCAGAAAAGGTTGGTGATTGACCTCCATTGTGTCAGCAATGGGCAGAGTATCATTCTTGTAACTACTGTTTGAATTTTTTATTTGTTCCAGAGAAATCGGACATGGCCAGAAGTAAATAACACTGTGGTTTGTGGTTATCAGCTAGTTGGTGCTGGAAAAGAATTTGTAGCATATCATATCGAGAAAAAAGTTGTAAAAACTTGTCAGGTCACCACCAATTGCTTATCGAAATGTGTTTTTATAGTTATTTTAATAGTTAAAGGGAAAAAAATATTTTAATTTAAAAAAAAAGCTAAAAAAAGTGCGTAGTTTGGACACTTCTCTGTGATACTAGAAAGTATGTCTAGAAATCCAAATTCCCACAACTCTGCTATAAGTGTGTTTTAGCTAATCGATAATGAACAATATATGAAGCTGTTGACAATCGCAAGTCGTTTGAATGAGGCCAAGAATTATTGGAAATATGAGGATCTGGAAGAGATGAGGTTTTTATATACTCAAAATTACAAAGGAATAAAATTTGTCTAGAACGGAAGAAGAGACGATGTCAGATTGGGGCAGGGACATTTTAGTTTCTCCATTTCCGTATTTCGTTGGTTTTTAAGGAATACTGAGTTTTACAACATTTATGCATCATTTATTGTCTTTTTTCTCAGAGAATTTGTATTGTCCTCTGGAACGGAAGTGTGTACGGATGATAATGGTCAGCGTTTCATGTTTTCCAATTGGCAATATGGCACCCTACACAGTAAAGTCCAGGCAGGCAAAGTTAAACTTTCGGAAAATGAAGCATTTTCGCTGTTTTCGAAAATTGTTAGAGGAATTGCTTTTTGTCATGCCTGCGGGATTGTTGTACGTGACGTCAAATTGCGGAAATTCGTCTTCACAGACAAGCAGATGCAAGTTTTTTATCTATCTCGGGTTCAAAAATTTCTTTTTCTCCCTTTAATAAATCTTCCGTGTTGAGTGTCCTATTGGGCTTAAGTAGCATAATTTCAGGACACAACTGAGATTGCGAGATATATTTGACGTTTTTGTTTGCGAGGACATCAAAGATGATCGGTTACGTGATAAGCATAGTTGTCCGGCATATGTTGCTCCTGAAATATTGAAGGATTCTCCTGAATATGCTGGTCGCCCGGCCGATATTTGGGCACTAGGAGTCTTATTCTATGTTTTATTATTTGGAAGGTTTGTCCGAAGTAATTCAGACAGCATAAAGTCCTACTTTGATCTCTATCCTAATACCAAGGAAGTAGGAGTATGAAGAGGTTTATATATTTCATCAAGAAAGCTAACATGATTTCCAGTCTTTCATCAGAAAATGTTTCAGTTATCCTTTCAACGATGCAACACCTCAAAGATTGTTTTACCGAATTCTGAAGGCAAAATTTAGTATCCCTTCACAGATCCCGATATCACAGACAGGTATACTTTATTCCTTCATATAGGGGATGTTTTTCATAACCTAATAGTCTCTTAACAAAATATTTCTGTAGTAAGTGTTTTTAATTTTTTTTTTCGGCACATTTATGCCGCTGAATATATATGGTTTACTCGAAACGTCCTGGAAATTAATTTTTGCAGCACGTGCTTTAATTTTTGGCATGTTGCGAAAGGAACCGTCAGAACGTCCCACTGCTGAACAACTCCTCTATATACCTTTAGATGAACAATGTTTGGACGAAAGTAATGTTGTGTCATTTCGTTCTATATTACCAGGTACTTAAATTGTTAAGCCTGTCAGCGTACGATTTGCAATCCCGGCGATGGTGCCTTAAAATTTTGTTTCTGCTGCTTATTGTGAAATTCATATATGCATACAATTGCTGAATTTGCTTAAGGTTGGCTGGAAATACCATCTTCTCGTGTTGCACTTCTTGGCATAATCAGTAATCCAGCTTTTGAATTTGCACGACGAATCATGAAAGTGATTTTTAATTTCTCAACCAGTTTTTTTTTTTCAAATTATCTGAAAGTTTGTTGTAAATTAACTCAAATTAAATCATTATCATTTATCTATATTTATTACTACTTGATTTTTTATATTTACATTTATATTACTACTCAAGTTTGTTGGAATCATATAATTGAATGATATTTCTAAAATTGTTTAGAGTTGGTCTAGCAAAGTTCTGATTTCACATTATGGCATGAAAAGATTTTAATAATAGTGGTAATAATTTCATTTGCTTTTTGAAGATGAACAACGAAAGCGAAGACCAAGTAGTACCAGTTTTCTCATCTGCACTGCGTAACGTTCAACAACATTTACAAATAATGCGCGACATTATAGCTGATTCGTCTTTAACCACAACAATCAATGAAGAGAATGTCGCCGAATCGCCTTCCTCTCCTTATTCTGCTCCTATTCTTGCTACGATCACTACTTTTGCTAATAATGCTATTTCTGCTACACCTAGAGCAACGTAGTGTTAATGTTTTTGTTATTTTATATCATGAATCGTTTTACTCGCAAGTTGAGAGGATTTGTCATCTTTGATATCTGGATGAGTCCTATTTTATTTCTGAAATCTTGGAAGTAATGAAAATATTTTATTACAGTACATAACTAGGACAAAATTGTTACATTTCAAGTCCTGATTGCAATAGAGAGTACTATCAATAAAAGTTAGGTAGGACTGTGCTACTAAAACTAGAGAGGGCTAATTTCGTCCAATTTATTAGTGAAGAGATCGATGGCATAAACGATGTTAATTCTCAAAAGCCAAACTTTGCAAAGTTTGGCTTTTGAGAATTACAGCAATGTAGCTTAAGATTGATAGCGATCATTATATATATTCATCGCAGCGGCACAAATATTTTATTTATTGGAAAAGAATATTTATAATAATCTTTATATGAAATTTGGAAAATTGGATCTTTCATGTCTTTACTGTTTGCAATTATTAGAATCTTTTGCGGAGTGTGTAATGTAAATTTCCGCGCTGACCTTGAAATTAAAGAATTCATTTATGATCGCTACTTCATGTTTTTAATTCAAAATTGCTTTTTGAGCAGGTCTCATTATTTCTGTGATTGAATAGAAATAGCGCCAATCATTTGAGATAAAATTTTCCATTTGAACGGTAGGGTATTTATTTATTGAAATGCAAATTTTACATCTTTGAAATATTTTTTGGAACGATGCAACTGGACATGAATTCGATATGTATCTTTTCAAGCGAAACTGTACTTATGGGAGAAATTTTTATGCATATTAAAGTTTTTTATTTGGTTGATGATATCAACACAGATCTGATGGAGAATCGCTTTTACATCAGTCGCATTCTTCACTATTCCAAGAATTATTTTCTATGATTGTAAGTTACTCCGTCTATATTGTTTGAGCAGGTCCTTTTACAGAACTTCAAAATGCAACTGCACATCTATGCTTTAGCCTGCCACTTTTCGTGTTTATTTCCTTTCTCGCAGTAGCTGTTCTCTTGGTTTAATACTCAAACTCAGATTATCTAGCATATATCGCGTGGTCAAAGAATATTTGCTAGGAAAGAATTAAAATCGATCGCACTGCACTATTTTTTATGTTTCTTCTCACTTCTATATTCGCGAAGATTTTACTAGGCAGCACATTTATTAGACATGCTTTAGTAGATTGTCTAACATGTTGCTAGAAGAAGCTAGACATCAGTGTGGCCCTTGTAAAAATTCATATCGTAATCTTTGTCTGGTTGTTTATTATTATTGTAGAATATTTTTGTGGCATTTTGTTTGTTTTTAAAGTTAATTTAGTTATCTTTTTTATGCTCATAACAGTCGTTACTGATAGTATCAATTAGTTACTGCTATCATAGGTCCTGTAATGCTTGGTCAGTTATTCTTTCATCCTTTATTTTGTGAAATGTTGTGGGATGACAAAAAGCGAATTCATAATCGAAAATAGCTTTAGCCGACCTGTGAGAGGAACTTTTGGATAAAGTTAGGATTGAGAATTTCAATTCATAAGCATAACATATGAAAGATATAATTTCTTTGAATATGTTAATATAAAGGGGATAAACAAGATTCCAGTCTCATAACATCTGAATATTTGGTCAGCCATATAGCATACATCATACACAAAAAACACGTTTTTTTAAAAGGAAATGAGTTCGACAAATTTAATTCTTCAGAATCATCTATTGTCACTGACTAAAACAGAACATGATGAATGACTTCTCAGTGTTATGGGAAGCAAAAATGGCATGAATACTTTTATCACATGAAAGGACTTTTACTACTGCAGTGCTTCAACAATATAGTGTTCTTTCAAACATACTTCCTTCTCCCTATCCTTAAGTGTTTTATACTTACAACTGAATACGTCAAGTCATTATATGAAGCCATGATATATTGGCTAGTGTCAATAAACCAGTAAATTCGGAACTTTCTCACTCTTATATAATATTAGAACTTTTGTCCATCATGATTTAAACAAAACTAGCAAAAGAACGTGCAATATTGGGACTGATATATGGTCCTAATGATGGATGTTCACCCGCCCAAACTTCTTCATTTGACTATTCATCTTGCAAGAGTCATTAGTTTCTCGTTACTAAGGATTCTTTCAAAGTTTTGCTTCTAAACTTTTAGTCCATCTTAGCTGTGCTCTGCATTTGTTATATATATATATATACAGCTACCCATCACTGTTCTTAAATACCAACGGAATGAAAGCTAATGATGTCCGTGTGGAGCGAAATATGCTTACGAATTTTATAACTCTGTCTGCAAAAAATTGTAAACTAATTAAGCGCTTCACTTCAAAAGTGAGAATTTGTAGATGTTTCAAATTTTTATGCTCAATTCCAACTTTCAATTCAAACCTCTAGATCTGCGGAACTGAACAGACGAAAATTAACCTTTCTTTACTATCAGTAAAATTGGAATTCAAACTCTTTGAATGTCTCAACACCTCTAGTTTTATTTTAAAACATTTTTACAGTTTCATATTACGTTTCATCAATAACAATTGCCATTTGTTTAGAACATAAGCCAATCTTCATTAATGCGTTTTATCAGCTGTCATCATTTAGGTTACCAGAACATTGTCTGAATCTTTCTTCTAAAAGAAAAGAATGAACATAAAGAGCAAATGACTAATGAACATCGCACAGAGATAAGTCTAAACAACTTAAATTATTCCCATCTTTCCCACTAGCATTGCAATTGAGATCTCTATTACCAATCATGGTTCCTTGTAATGAAATTAGCTGGTTGACTTGCAACATGAGCTTGCTTAACACTCAGTCATCCATAACCCAGTATCTACGGTCCATTTCAACAATTCCTGTCTAACCCTTCACTCCATTATCAATACTACTCTCGAAACAGGAAAGGAAAGCTGCAACAGACTGTTCCGGTCCTGCTTGGCGGATTGAGATTCAAAAGTGTCGTATCATTCGGGACTCGTCGGTAGTTTTAGGGGGGTCACATTGGTGTTGGGAGAAGGGAAGTGTTCAACTAGATGTGTCTTGAGGTGTTTACGGATGTGCTGGTACCACTGTTATCAACCGGTTTTCAACTGTTTATTGAGGAAAGGTGGAAAGTTGCTAGGTACTATATGTGCACACACCTCCATCTCATCGAGTTGTCAGTTCAATTTGAAGTTTTTAGGGAATGGGACGACGACCAGCAAGATGCTACCGTTATATCAAGAATAAGCCATATCCCAAGTCTCGATTCTGTCGTGGTGTTCCAGATCCGAAAATTCGTATCTTTGATTTGGGCAAAAAGAAAGCTACAGTGGATGAATTCCCGTTATGTGTGCATTTAATGTCCAATGAACGAGAACATCTTTCATCGGAAGCGCTTGAGGTACATCATGTAGCTTGAGATTTGGACATCTGATAGAAGATTGAGAAACTGTCAAAATCGGATTCCCGTAATCCCAAGAAACGCTTTTCCCTTATTTTAGTCTTGCCAGTCATATTTTCTTGCTCTTTTGTCATTTGCATGATAAAGCACAAATTGGTTGCAAGTTTGGTGATAAGGCCGTAGAAAAAGTCTGACGTGATATTTCAAAGAGCTTGATTCAAATTTGTAAGTCTTGCATTTTCAGGCAGCTCGTATTTGTGCCAATAAATATATGGTAAAGAACTGTGGCAAGGATGGTTTTCATATGCGTGTGCGTAAACATCCATACCATGTTGTACGCATCAATAAAATGTTATCATGTGCAGGTGCTGACCGCTTGCAAACTGGAATGCGAGGAGCTTTTGGTAAACCTCAGGGCTTAGTTGCACGAGTTGATATTGGTGACATATTAATATCGGTACGAGTAAAGGAACAGGTTTGTTTTGTTTGCTAAGAAGAAAATAATGCATTGCTCGACTTTATAATAGACGTTCGAACAGCGTGTTAAGGGTTATTTAATGTAAATGAGGAACGGTTCTATGATGTTCTAGTTCAGCAGTGAAATTCAGCGGCTTATTTTTAAATACTAACTTTGCTCAGAAATGTTTTCTGTGATTTGGCGAAGTCTTTGTCCTGTGTGCAAATTAGTTCCGTGGCTTTCCCATAGTGTAAAAATCCTGAGGAATTGATAGTTGCTAATGTTCAGCACGAAGAGCATGCGGTAGAAGCTTTTCGAAGAGCGAAATTCAAGTTTCCTGGGCGTCAGCTTGTTGTGGTATCAAGGAAGTGGGGCTTCACAAAGTGGGACAAAGAGGAATATGAGACAATGCGTGGAGAAGGACGTTTGGTACCAGATGGTGCAACATGCAAACTCGTACGAGAGCATGGTCCGTTATCAAAATGGATTCATAATCCTATTTAAAAGTTGTTAACTATTCTAATGTTTGTTTTTTGAATAAAATATCCGTGATTTTTTCATTCCTTTTTTTTTTTTCATAATGTGCTAATCGGATTTGATCAGAAAATCGTTATCTCGCGCTACAAAAAGTTCTGCAAATTCAAAAAAGATTTTGCCAGCAAAAATGTACCATTAAATATTTTTTGTTAGGGAAATGTGACTACTGAATTGAACCGAATGGAGTTCCATTACATGGTAATGGTTGCTTCTTTAGGTGTACCTTGATTTATTGTATGGAACTGAGGAATGTATGGATAGTTTTTCTACACATCAATTTTCATTTGTTTTTGTGAACATGTCTGAGCGTTGTTTCATCGTAATCACTGCATATTCCCATTTCCTTCGGTTCTTCCATGGAGATTGTAATATGTTTTCCGATTGAAGAATTGGTTTGTTTCATTAAGCTGATCATAGATTTTGGTAATTTTTTACTTCTCAGAATCGTTAGCTGCAAATACAGTGCTAAGTGAATGTTGAAAGAATGAAGAAGCAAATTTGATAGACAAATGTTAGTTTATTGTTAATCTCGGCAGTAAAGACAATTCCTCCATTCCAGGCTGTCGCTGGTTTGTCCTTATTCGTAACTAAGTGCCTTAATGGTGGTTTATAATATCTAACACTTTCATTACTGGCAAAACTCTAATATTATTTTTTTAATCACGCAAAGCTCACAAACCTGCTTTTGCGCTATTTGTTGCACATCCTCAGGCATTTCAATATGCACATCATCTTCAACTCCTGCTTGAACCAATATCTGTATCTAAAAAATTTCCTTTTTTTGCTACAAAAATGCGAATATAAATAGGAGTCTTCACTTAACGAAAAGGTATTTAAAGATGTTTCTGACTAATTTCAAGAAAACAACTAGGTGACTGTTTGCGCTTCTAAAAATTTGATCTGGTTTTTGTCAAAATTTCAGAACCTTCTGCAAAACGACGCCGGTGAAACTCTCTTTTATTTATACAAAGGACAGTTGCTTTGATTTCATTCAAACAAAATGGATTTTTACAAAATCTTCCCGAAGCTGTTGTTTAACTCTGCAATTATACCTGTCTCTTGGTATCAAAACCATGCCTTATCCAAAAGGCTAACATCGTTTTACTTGTAATGTATTCGCCATTCACTTCTCTACAATTTTTGTCAAATTAATTCTTGATTCTCTTAATCAATCTTCTTGTTTAATTATGTTCACTTCCACTCAGTTTAACAATAATTGATCGTCAAGGCATTATTTATTACTATCGATTTTAATTTGCATTGGTTTCATTTGGTAAAACAAATCAATATGACTTATATAATCTACAAAAATGGATCTTTTATAAAGTAATACCTAAATGGAATATTTATGAGATGTTATCTTATGAGAAATTATCTTGCTAAATCTTATTTACGTAACTGATTTGTCGCTTTGTTTTATTTCATTATTAATTGGCAGTAAGCAAATGACAAAGTTTTTTTCGCTTATATAATTTACATAATTTAATTTTCACCTTTTTTACGAGGTTGTAGTCATAACTTTAAGTAGATGGAAAATTACTTAATAATATCGCCAGGTCGAAGATGTACAGATGCTAAGCTTCCGGGTATGACGCTTGCCACTTGCAGTTGCTCTTTATTATTGTATTTCACAGATAGGCCAAGTTCCTGAGTTAGATCCATATCCGGAAATGATTCTATTCGAATTTGCACCTGGAACTTTTTACTTTCAAATGCTGTTCAAATGAACAAAGCACGCTCCAGAATGTCGTGATTTTTTCCTGAGATTTTTCACCGGAAACAAGAAATATCAGGATATCAGCAGTTTTTATTAAATTTTTATGTGAACTAGAAACCTTATAAATATTATGAATAGCCTACCATATATACTTCAACAGCTCGCAATACTTTTAATGAGCTTCCCTTCTCAACAGTTAACGTTTCGACGGTAGTTATCATATGTTTGCAACATGAAAAACCGCACCGTTCCAGCGTAACTCTTGCATTCTAATAAGATAGTAAGCATTCTAATTTAAGAGAATAAGAGTCATCATGACACCTTTCTCTTTTCCGAAAGAAGTATCAATAAACCAAGGATAGGTAGGCTACACTGAACAATAAAGTCATTTAAATTAATATCAGAAAAAAAATTTTAATATCAAAAAACTTAAATAATATCAAAAAAAAAAAAAAAAAACGAAATAATTAGCTCCATTTGCAGTAAAAGTATACATTTAATAAGTAAATGAAATCTATAATATCATTTTATGAAGTCTAATAGTGTACATACTTTCCCTGGTTTGGAAAGTTGTTCATTAAGATCCTTAACTGTTTGTAATTTTTCGTGATTTATCGCAATGATTTTATCACCCACGCTCACTTGTCCAACTGATGAGCCACGTGGCTCCACCAGTGTTACCTGCATTTCAACATGACGTAATTGCAAAAGACAAAATATGTGTTTGGACAAATGAATTCTCGGAAGATAAAAGTAGTAAGCATTTATCTTCAGAACGACGATGATTATCTTATCTTACTCTCAAATGTACTCAAAGGAGAGCCAGCTATAAAGCTTAATAAAAAGACCTCAAAATGTAGTGATATACGCCCGATAATTCATGAATAAAGCATTGTCCAATTTTGAGAGTTACTTTTCTTTTCATTTTCACTTAGTCACCCGTTCTGACTTAGTCACCCGCTCGTTTATTGCATATTTCAAATTCTTAGGCACTAAGTTCAGTTGTACAACTTTTAGACAGTAAATGCTTTCAGTACCACGAGCACACCAAAATTTCAGTATTTCCCGCATTAATCCATTCCCGAGATTGAAGAACAGAATGATACATAACCAATTAACATTCAGTGTTTCACAAGCGATTTTTTTTAATGATTGAGGAACCTACCCTTAGATCACCTTTGTTGATTCTTAAGCCAAAAGGCTTCTTTAAAATCACTGTAACCTGAAATCGATTGTATCATCTAAATAGTTATTCAATTTGTTAATCCAAATTAAGCCATCATGTTTACTTTAGATAGAGCAGTAAAGTTAATAGTGGATAATAAAGATAAAGTTAATAAGTAGTCAAATGAAGAAAGTACAAATGAGTTGTGAAGTAAGCACACCGTTATTTTAGTAGGAAAATTGTTGGCGTTTTTATTTCCTTTGCATGATTTCTGTCGTAATGATGATCTTGGCATGTTGGTTCCTTTTTAATACATCAATGATGAATAGACCGCTTTACAATGGTCAACAAATAAAACTGAAAACAACGTGCTTACTTATTATTCAGTTATATTTTTAATATTGTCAATGACTCATTCTTCTTTTCCTATAAAACGAACAAAGTGTCAATTTGTATAATTTCATTTTGATTTAATATTCTGTGTCAGCGATGAATGTCATAAAGTGTGGTTGTGAAACGAAGATGCAGAATGACTAGTTGATTCCTTTATCGAATTGTTTGTCATTACATTCTTTTGGCCTTTACAAGTTATAAAAATAAAAACAAAAAGTAGCGTACCAATTTCGCTTGTGATTCTTCAAGAAAGGTTCCATTAAATCTCGACGATACAATATAGCATTTCCACATATTTTGCGCCAAAATTCGTTGCTTATCATTGTTTCAAAAAGTTAAGCCAATTTTTTTAATTGGATTTTGTTCGGTCCATTAACAATTGAATGAATTCAAATATGCAGAAATGGCAGGTAATATGAGTCTCATCTGATGTAATTATTATCTAAATATTAAAATTATCTCTGTTATAGTGGAACAATATGAATGACTACTTGCACTTAATAATAAAATTCACTTCCTTATAGATAAAAGTGGAAATGAAATGACTAACTATTAATTTTATTTCCTTCAATGAAACTCTCATAGATTAGTATTTTACGATTACCACTGATATGAAAGTTTTGCAAGCAGGTCGTTGTATGTTGTTTATGTTTACTTGCTTTCACATTCCTTTTTATCCATAGAAACTTGAAAAGGATACTTCTCTCAATCAGATATTATTGTTCTCATACCACTAATTCTACAAGTGTCACATTATAGAATTAGTTCTCGAATCTCTCGCCGCCATTCTGGAAATTTATAAATGTCAACCAATGGAATAACTTAAGTTTATCCTAATTCCTTGCTTCTTATACAACTAACTCACTAATATTTCATATGACAGACAGATCATACTAATAACACGGAAAAGGTCAACACAAACTGCTGCAACCGCCAATTCCACTATCGCCGTCTCCTCTTGCCTCTCTGACGTTAGTACACTCTTTTTCTTTTGTTCACGATTTCCTGCAGTCGGGAGGGTGACGCATCATCATTTCGTTTTGGGTAGGTGAGTGTTTCACATTTGGATATAAGGGTTCTTGTAAGAACCGTGGTTTTTTCATTTATGAGAGCGTAATAATTATGGATAATAGGATTGTCCTATTTGTTACATCCAACACTGACAGTCACTTTATTATACTCACGGCAAAAGCGCTCACATTGCGCCATTTCTTTAACAAATACAGTATGGGAGAGACAATTCGTCTTTTACTTAATAGCGCTGTCGTAATTAACGCCGTTTTCGAGCTCTAATTGTTGTTTCGAATATTCGAGTTGTTTCCTCAAACCTGAGCAAATCATTCATCGTTTGCAAAAGAAACCTTGCTCAGTAGCGCACTTTTGCTAAGAAACTTTCCAACATCTTCCCTTCTTAATATTTCCATATACCATTTGGCCACAGTCACTAATAAATCATTAGTATTTTCATCATATTCATGACACATTCATCGTGTGCTATCACCTGATGTCTTTTCAGTACGTAACGCCTAATATTATACCAAAGAATTTATACTTTAAAGATTATATCCTAATTATAAATAGTTTACTCCTTCCTCTTCAGTGCTTTTCTATATATTTTTGCAACTTTCCAAGATAAATCAACTCAATTTGTTTTGGATCGGATCAGCGAATTAATCATGAATATCGATTCCA